TATACCCATAAAATAAAACTAAAGATTGAAACAAATCTTAATAATAATATATATAACACATGCCACATCATATTCTCGAAATCTTGCATGATACAAATATCCTCGAAGTTATGTTACAAATATCATGAAGCTTATATCGAAGCCAAAACTCCAGATACCAGAATCAAATACCACAAAATCTTAATCCAAATCAAAAATTTGCATGCGAGAATCCATGTTAACATTTATACGTCCTTAAGATCATATTTTTACACTCTCATAAATCTTGCGCCTAAAAATATACCAAGCTAATACGATGAGTCTCATCTTCTTCAACCAAACACAATCATATAAGCCGAAAACAACACATAACCACACTGTATAAATTATACGGAAAAACTGATTATCGACAATGACATACATGATAAGACAGTAAATTAAAATCATATTTATTAGATATCAAAATAAAAAAAACTCCAACCACAGACGACATAATAAAAATACGTAAACACAAAACCTAACACCATAATATTTGTTATTTTGTAAGAAGAGGTCGCTCGACTAATCCCAAATCATAACAGACTCCAATGGCCCCAGCAAACGATGTATATAAAACACCATTAATCATTTTGATGTCTTAAAAACACGTCGCCCCTCTGACAACAGCTAACAACATCCCAAGGTAATAGAGCTCACCACTTTCTGGCTTCACACAGGGAAGTCCTACGCCATTTCTCCTAGACCTAAAACGACGCCGCGGTAGCCATTTTCTGATGTTCTTATGCAAAACAAACCAAATCAGGAATTCAGTATACAAAAGATGTCTCGACTCAGGATGGTGTTTGTTGTATTCCATCCAACCCTGAAACTAAGACGTTTGAAAATAATATCCGGGATCAGGTGGTGTAAAGTCGCCCGAGAAAATGCTATCATGGTTCTTCGGTAGATGGAAAGGCAAGATAGTCATCTGAGTATGCTTACTGTATAAAAGAAATAAAATTTAGATACACAAAGAAACCAATATAGTAGAGCAAAAATAGATATATATAAACAAACAAAAAAGACAAAGCAATAAACAGCTTCATCAGGAAAACAACACAATAAAAAAACCAAATCAAAATTTTATAACAAAGCATTAGTTGTAATCAGCATAGGATGAATCGAAATGGTAAAAAGTTTAAGAAGCAATACCTTTTATGCAAACTGAACTCACGACCACCAGAAGATATAAGCCTCGAAGCTCTATCACCAAAACGAAATGATGAAACCTAATCAACTATCCTCTCTTGCAAGCTACCTGCGGAACAACAAAAAACCAAGAAGAAAAAATCAGAACGTAAAAAACAAAACAGAATGCACCAAACAAAAACTAAACCCTAAACTATGACCTACACGTCAACAATCAACAAATAAACCTACGTAGTTGTTTAGATGAATGAGATATACGTGAGTATATATAGCTATCAAAATTTTAGGGTTTTCGTTTTGTAATATGATTTCGAGAGGCAGCCAACCTTTTCAAATGGTCCATTGGATATCATTTTCAAAAAGCCCAACAAAAAATCATATGAGAACCGGTTTAAAGTTTAGATTACTATAATCGATTTTTAAATGAGAACCAAACCAAACCAATCGACTTAAATCCGAAAATTACCACTAAGGACAGAAGGCGCTAACCCCTCTGAGAGGAGCTGTGGTGCGTTTCTCACTTCACAAATAATAATATAGATTTTTACATGGTATCAAGAGCCTACGATCACATAAACATCTAAAGAAACCCAAAAAAATTCCATATTTTTCTTTGTTCAAATCAAAACTCATCATGAATTTTACCGACAATACCTCTCCAGCAACAGTTACTGAAACAATCAATGCCCTACCCCAGTCACTTCTTACAATCAACATGTCACATGTTACAAAGCTGAATGCGACTAAATACCTTATGTGAAGCCTCTAAGTCCATGCTTTACTCAATGGCTATGACGTAGCAGGTCATCTTGATGGATTCATCATCAATCATATTGCCACACTCACCACCGGTGATCAGATCTCTGTCAACCCGGTGTTCACACTCTGGAAGCGCCAAGACAAACTTATCTACAACGCCCTTATTGGTGCCATATCACACACTCTACAGCCACTTGTGGCTTGTGCCACAACATCGTCGAAGATATGGACTACTCTTATCGCTACATATGCAAAACCCAACCGTGGTCACATCAAACAACTCAAAACACAACTGAAAAGTTGAAAGAAGGAAAGCAAGACAATTGACGAGTACCTTCAAGGCATCATAACTCGTCTGGATCAGCTCGCAATACTAGGTAAAAGAGTTGATTTTGAAGATCAGATAGATGTCATTCTTGAAGGTCTTTCTGAAGATTATAAATCTGTCATTGATCAAATTGAAGGCAGAGATTCTCCTCCTTCCATTACTAAGCTATATGAGAGATTACTCAATCAGGAGGCTAAGCTCATGTCTGCACATGAAGCCATTGTTTCCCATACACCGGTCTCCGCTGTGCAACATTGCAAAGCAATAACCATAACAACAATTATTGCAATCAGAATCGCCAGAGGAACCATAATAATCAATAGCAACAACAGTTGAATCAGTCAAACTGAAATCCTCTTTAACAAAATACAGAACTGAGAGGCCCAAAACCATATTTTGGACGATGTCAGATCTGTGGGGTTCATGGTCATAGTGCCAAGAGGTGTTCCAAACTCTATGTTCCAAGCAACACAAATCAGCAGCCAGCAAATCCATTCACACCGTGGAATCCAAGAGCTAACCTTGCAATGGGCACTCAGTACACAACAAACAATTGGTTATTGGACAGTGGAGCTACTCACCACATCACTTCAGACCTCAATAACCTATCTCTTCATCAACCACATTATGATGGGGACGATGTGATGATTGCAGACAAATCTACAATTCCCATCACACAAACTGGTTCTACAGCTCTTCTTACTCTTACTTGTGATTTAACATTAAACAAAGTACTTTGTATACCTGATATTCACAAGAACCTCATCTCTGTTTATCGCCTTTGCAATGTTAACAAAGTCTCTGTGAAAATTTTTCACAGCTTCTTTTCAGGTGAAGGATCTGAGCATAGGGGTCCGGTTAATCTGCGTCAAAACTAGAAATGGGTTATAAGAGTGGCCTATGGCGACTCCACAACCTCACACGCTCTCCACTTCGGCTTCCTCCACGACAACTCTCTCTTCATGGCACTCTAGATTGGGTCACCCGTCTTCCTCCATCCTCAATAACATTGTCTCCAGCTTTTCTCTTTCTGTTATAAGACCAACTCATAAACATTTGTCTTGCACCGACTGCTTAATCAAAGAAGTCATAAACTATCTTTTCTTACATCCACAATTGTTTCAACAAGACCCCTTGAGTACCTATATTCTGATGTATGGAACTATCCTATTCTTTCTATCGAAAAATATAAATATTATATTATTATCATAGATCACTTCACCCGTTATACTTGCCTTTATCCTCTTAAACAGAAATCCCAAGTCGAAAACACATTTCAAACCTTAAAAAATCATTTCCAAACACAAATTGATACCTTTTATTCAGACAATATAGGAGAGTTTGTGGCTTTAAGAGAATACTTTGCAGCAATGAGAATCTCTCATCTCACGTCTCCTCCGCACACACTAGAGCATAATGGCATCTCCGAAAGGAAATACCATCACATTGTTAAGACCGTGCTTACATTACTCTCTCGTGCATCCGTCCCAATATATGTTTGGCCCTTTATTTTTGCTGCAGTAGTATATCTGATCAATCGTCTTCCAACGCCAATCCTCTCTTTCCCATATCAGAAACTATTTAAAGAATCGCCCAATTATGCCAAACTTAAAATAATTTGGATGTGTCTGCTTTTCCTGGCTTCCATCGTACAATCGCCACAAATTAGAGAATCGATCGATGCAATGTAATCTTCTGTGAATACTCCACGACCCAGAGTGCATATCTATGTTATCACATTCCCACAACTCGTCTCTATGTATCTAGACATGTCCGATTTGATGAGCAAAGTTTTTTTTATCGCCGGCTTGATTTCGATCGCTCGCGGACTCTTATAATTGATCTATCTCCCGTTACTAATTAGCCGATTCATGAAAATATGCTCCCTTCGTTGAAAACGCCGTCGCAGATAACCCCAGCTCAGATTCTCACCATCGGATGCCTTCATCTCCGACCAGTTCCCCACCGACACAATCTTCGTCTCAAGTATTGCCACTTAACCCAAGCTCTAATTTTGTTTCCTAACAAATTGAAAACCAGCAAACTGGGCTTTTGAATGACACTTTTCATCAGAATAGTGTAACAAATACTAAAACCATCACGACACTTGATGACTTGAAGAAGAAACTATTCTAAAATACTACTGCATTGTAAACGGCTTTTGGATATCTTTTTCTCAGCAAATACTCCCGTAGAAGCTAGAGGTCTATAAATGGCAGTAAAGCAACTTAAAAGACTAGAGAAAATTACGTTCTTTGAGAATTCAACAGTTTTTTACAAACCTCTTGATGCCCAATCAGTCCTCTCCTCGACAAGTATTAAGAAGTGCTAATGTTCTGAGACATTTAAGCTATGTTATATCATGGAATAATGAATGTATCTTGATCTTTGGGTTAATGAACCCCCAAAAAAATACAGCTTGGCAGCAGCCGATACTCGTTTTTTTTCTTCTTGGTCACAGCTTGGCAACTCGTATTTGCTTCTTCATTTCTTTTCTTTGTTCTCCAGTCAAAGGTCTCTCTATGTAATTATAAAAATATTTAATAATAAAATAGTAGTAACACTAACGAAACGCAAAAAAGAATTCTCTCTCAAATCTCAGTTCCCACTTGAATCTGTGAAAATTGCGTGAAAAGAGAAAAGTAATCGATAATCAAAAATTGAGGAAATTGTTGAGGATAAGCGTAAAGCTTTTCTTCTTCTCCCTTGTCATAAAAAGATAGCAACAATCGAAGAAGAGCTTGAAATGGGCCACCACCTCCACCACCACGACGGTGGCGATGGCGTCCCTCAACATGTCAATAGTCCACGATTCTCCGGTCCCATGACTCGCCGTGCTCAATCTTTCAAACGCGGCGGCTCCGGAGGCAGCAGCAGCAACAACACTCACGTCGGAATCAGCGGCGGCGATAATAACACCGGCTCGAGCACCACCACGAATCACTCCACCTTGAGAGTTCACCACGAGATCGATCTACAGTTAAACTCACCTAGATCAGAGATCGCTTCTGGTTCGGGTTTAGATCCGAGTTCTGCGTTTGAGTCTGCGATCAATAGAAAGCATCAGACGTATGGTCAGTTGAGGGAGAGAGTTGTGAAAGGTTTGCTGAGGAAACCGATGGGATCGGTGGTTTCGGAATTTAGCTTGAGAGAGAAGAAGAAACTTGGGCATTGGATGTTCTTTGTCTTTTGTGGTGTGTGTTTATTTATGGGCGTTTTGAAGATTTGTGCAACTGGTTGGTTTGGATCTGCCATTGATAGTGCAGCTTCGGATCAGGTTCCTTCTCAAAACTGATTTTGTGCATTTGATGTTCCCCCAAATTGAATACTTGATTAATTCAAGTGTTAATCTGGTTGAAAAACCTGTGGCTTGTTTATTGGTTAAGGAGATTAAACATCTGATATAACTTTGGTAAATTGGGTTTTGTGCTTGATTAAGATCCTCACATTTATGATGCTATTAGTGTCGAAAATTTGTGGGTTATTTGACATAAGTTTGATAATTTCTTCTAGGGTTTATCCAACTCAATCCCTCGAGTAAATCTTCTAGATCATAGCTCCCATGATTATATCTATAAAGATGGAGGAAATGATGTTGATCCAACTTTGGTTATGGTTGCTTCAGGCGTGGTGGGTGACCAAAGCAGTGTGGTTGAAGTAAGTCTTATTAGCTCCGAGTGCCAGATTCTCTTCCACTGCTACTTTAGGAACAAGCTTTGAGTTGATTATATTTATTGCATCGTGAATCTTGAAATCTTGGTATTGCTCTTTTCTTCATTCAGCATTCAGGTGTTTGGGCAAAACCTGAGAGTGGAAATTTCTCGCAGTGCATTGACAGTTTAAGGACTCGCAAAAGTATGCCCTTGGAAAATATTTGTCCTGTTAGTAGCATCTTTTTGTTTTGTTTTGCAATTCTTGTTCTTGGCTTGAAGGTCTTATCATATGAATATATGTTGTGTGCAGAGTTAGCTGCTAATACGAACGGCTACCTTCTCATAAATGCTAATGGAGGACTGAACCAAATGAGATTTGGGGTCAGGCTTTTGTGTTTTCTCAATGTTTCTGAAGTTATCTTCTGTTTATAAGTTATAGGCTGATGCGTTTAACCATTTTAGAATGCAGATATGTGATATGGTTGCAGTGGCTAAAATTATGAAGGCAACTCTAGTTCTTCCTTCACTTGACCACAGCTCATATTGGGCAGATGACAGGTTAGTTCTTAACTTTATTTAAAAGCGTTTTATTATTCTCTCGTCCTTACAGAAGCAGTTAACTTGTTAATTAATCTTCAGAGTTCTCCTTATTAAAGAAGTTTACGTAATTAGCAGATTGTATCGTTTTTATTATACTAAAGAGAAATAGTTAAAGCACTATCATAGTATTTACTGGTGAACTTTGTTCCTTATTTCACCTTGTTTGCAGTGGCTTTAAGGATCTATTTGATTGGCAACACTTCATTGAGGAATTGAAAGATGATATTCACATAGTTGAGACGCTGCCATCAGAATTAGCCGGAATCGATCCCTTTGTTAAGACACCCATATCGTGGTCTAAGGTCAAGATTGATTTCTGGATATTTGGTTCACTAGTAATTGCATAAAATTGTTTTGAAGAAGACTCTCTCGGTCAATAATATTTATCCCCTTGTAACAGGTTGGTTACTACAAGAAAGAGGTCCTTCCGTTGTTGAAACAGCATATCGTAATGTACTTAACTCACACTGATTCCCGGCTCGCCAACAATGACCTTCCTGATTCTGTACAAAAACTTCGTTGCCGAGTAAATTACAGGGCGCTGAAATACTCAGCTCCAATAGAGGAACTGGGAAACGTTCTAGTTTCTAGAATGAGGCAGAACAATGGTCCTTACCTTGCTCTTCATCTAAGGCAAGTAGCTTTCTCTATTTGTTTACATCATAATTTATTGGACATAGGGCCATATACAAGATAAATCTATATGCAAGACCAGTATGAATTAGTTTGGAGTATAGCTCATGCAAATTTGGTTCATTACAAAACATATCATCGTCCTCTACAGGTATGAGAAGGATATGCTGGCTTTCACAGGCTGCAGTCATAGTTTAACAGCTGAAGAAGACGAAGAATTACGACAGATGCGGTATGAGGTTAGTCACTGGAAAGAAAAGGAAATAAACGGAACAGAGAGAAGATTGCAAGGTGGTTGTCCCTTGACTCCGAGGGAAACTTCGCTTTTGCTAAGGGCTTTGGAATTTCCATCTAGCTCGCGGATTTATCTCGTAGCTGGTGAAGCTTATGGAAACGGAAGCATGGATCCTCTCAACACAGACTTCCCCAACATTTTCTCACATTCGACTCTAGCCACCGAAGAAGAGCTGCGTCCTTTTAATAATCACCAGAATATGTTGGCTGGTTTAGATTACATTGTTGCACTTCAGAGTGAAGTATTTCTCTATACTTATGATGGGAACATGGCAAAAGCGGTTCAAGGTCACAGGCGATTCGAGAACTTCAAAAAGACCATAAATCCAGACAAGTAAATGCTCTTAAATACTCCCCCACTAGTTTGAATTATAAAGTTACATCATTTTGATCACATCTTCGTTTTTTTCGATGTAGGATGAACTTTGTGAAACTTGTTGATGCATTGGATGAAGGGAGAATTTCTTGGAAAAAGTTCAGTTCCAAAGTAAAAAAGCTACATAAAGACAGAAATGGAGCTCCGTATAACAGAGAATCCGGCGAGTTCCCGAAGCTGGAAGAGAGTTTCTACGCAAATCCACTTCCCGGGTGTATTTGCGAGACTACAGAAGAAGAGAGAAGGATGCAACGGAAATAATTAAACACGAGGATGCTTCTGGTAATTTTTTTAGTTTACAGTTAGCTAAAAAAAAGAAAGGGAATGTGATTTTTTGGTCTCCTGAAGCCAGAGACAGTGATGAGTACTAAAGCTCAAAATTGACAAAAATGGTTACAAAGACGGAGACAGTATCTTACTGGAAAAAACTCTGCAGGTATGTTCTGAAATGTTCATCCTCAGTCAAATTCTACCAACAAAGCTCGGCTTCAGCTAATGCCATGGAGATTTGTGGAAGTGGATAAACAAATAGGATTCATTGTTTGTAACACTACAATTGTCATTTTTTTTTTCTTTTTACTCAAAATCAACTTTTTTGTTCGTTTACACGCATTAAATAACGTAGAGGATATATTTCTTGTTTCTTGGACTTCGAAACATACAATATATACTCACCAATCTTATCATGTCTGAACATAATCAGGAGACTCTTTAAGTTGACCATACTCTGTCCCACCACTACATGTAATTTGGATCTGAGCCACGGGTTTTGAAGTTTTCTTGTACCCACCAAAAAAAAATGTGGTTAATCGTGGCTAACTGTCAACAGATTTGACCACGGTTGAAATGTGTGGCTATATCCACAAATTCGACTACATATTTATTATCGGCCACCATATAGTAACTAAAGACCCGGCTAAAAAAAGTGATGATTTAGCCACCGATAAAGATCGAGTAATCGGCTATTCATATATTCCACTTTTAGGTTTGCCTTCTAGACCGATAATCTTGGTCTGCAAATCTTTCGCTTAGAAATAAGTGAGTGTAAAAGTAACAGCTACATAAGTTGAAAAACAGAAATAAAATTCTTAAATAAAAAATATATATACTAAATAAGAGACTGTTTAGGATTTCAGTGTCTACGTCAGCTAAAAATAGAGCTTCAAAATGATGCCACGGCAGTTATTACTCAAATTTTTTTATAAAAACTGTTCACGTAAAAAAAACAATGCTTTAAATAAATCTTCTCACCCAAATAATAACAAATAATTCTCATTGGGCCAAAACTAAACCACACACACCGCACAAAACAATTACATCCTAACTAATAATAAAAAAAAACAGAACTCAAAGAACCGTTCTTCTCACCTCCTCGGCATATCTCCTCTTTCTCCCCAATCATGTCGATTCAATCCCAGAAAAAATCAACGATTGCTCTCCCTCTCACACAACTCTAATCGTCTTCTGCCAGTTACGAACTCATCAATTACTCAATCAAACCACTTCATGATTTCACTCCACTACGCCAATTTATTGCTCATTACCTTCAAAAATGACTATATATATGATCCTTTCCCACCATCACACCATCTCACCATCGTTCTTGCCCACAGAAAGTCCAAATCACAACATCTCACCACTAACCTCTTCAAAGCCCCTCACTATCCAAACGTTTGATGGCCTCCAAGGAGATTTCGGCAAGGATGAAATTCTGGTCAGGCTCATCCATTCTTGGGAGGCTCGCAGTCTCAGACAAGGAAATGTATAAATGGGTGTAGAACCACTCCTGATTGACACAAATGTAAGTAGACAATCACAATTTTCTTTATTTGATCTGACATCTACTCCTTCGTGAGAAATCGAGCAAATCGATCTACATTATTCTTTTACCCTGGATTGTTATTATATTTATATGAATGATGCTTCGAATTGAAACAAATCTCGCCGTATTATTGTGACTTGTGATCTATTAGGCGTATAGATTGATGGGTTTTACATATAATTACAACAATCACAGGAAAATGCAAGATATAGTTCAATCTCCTTGAATAGTTCGTAATTTCATTTGCTTCATTTGAAAATTGAATTTTTAGTCAGGTTTTGCAATTTTCTATACCTCGATTTGGCTATTTTGTGTTTATCACTTGAGATGATTCTTGCAAGTGATCTCCAAGTATTAGGATTTCCTGTTAAATTTTTCATGTTATACTCTCAATTATCTAAGCTTTGAAATCAGAGTATTAAAATTTCCTCATTTTCTGTATCTCCATCGCAGCCATCAAGTTAGTTTTCTGTTTTCGTTGGTGATATTAATCATCACTCCTAAGCTTCATTGTTTTCACGTTATATCTACTAGTAACTTTGGCGAGTTTGATAACTTTTAAATGTCAGTTCGGGTGTGACCTTTTCCCTGTTTTGATTACTAACAGAAATGCTATTTTATTGGGCTTTGGTATATCAAGGATGGCCTTGAAGACGAAATAGCCGGACAAAGGCAGCTGTAGCGCAAAGAACAAAGGATCAAAAACTGATGTAAGGATGAATGTTTTCAGTTAATTATTCGGTTGTAGAATGGGAAAAAGATAAAGATACAGAATGCCTAAACGATCATCTCCGGCAATTTTCTATTGTTGTTCAGGACCTTCTCCAAATTTCAGCCAACATAAATGATGGTATGTAAGTGATTCACTGATTTTGATTGTCTAGCTTTGAAGAATCTTTGAGCCACATGGTTTTGTACTACGTATTGCAATTTGTAGCCTATATATACTGACCCATTCACTTCTTAATATTACCTGTAAAGTTGCTTCGTACAGCTTCCAAAGTTGCTTATTCTGTTTGATCTATTGTTGGTAGACTTGAACCGCCGGAGCATTTCAATGATCCCAATTGATAAACAGGATTGTAGGGGTTTAAATCAAAGCCAAATGCACATGTTTATGATGAAGTATAGTGCAAGAGGTGTCAATCCAGCGAAAGCTACTAAGAATGCAAGAGCAATGTAAAGCTAAGTCAAATTTGGGTAAATGGATGAGAAATTCTATGAAAATCAAATGCAACAACTAAATGACAGCGAAAACAATTTTAAAAATCCCACTGAGGGGTTAAACAACTAGCAGTTGACTTCTAAGAGATTAAAATGCAAGACTACTAATTTAATAAAATCGAACTCTAAAGGCAGATAAACAGAGAATTTTTAGCAACTTAGAACAATAACTTTTAAAGACTAAAGATGCAAGCTTTATGACTAAGAAATAATAAACTTGAGATTTAAAGGACTAAAAGAGGATCCAAGGCTGAGGATCATGTTTAATAAGGTTCAAGATTCAAGTTTGGGTTTTGAAAACATAAATCTACACTTTTGAGTGCTATCTTTAAGCCTTGAGAAGCTAAAAGAGGTTTATCCATGGCGTGTGGTATAAACCCTTTCCTCAACCCTTCCTCCTAACCCATGGCATGTGGTGGAAAGATGGGTCGAAGAACATTAAGCATAGATCTCAAATAATGGCCTAACTAGCTCCCAAAGCATCTATGGCGTTTGGGAAAGGATGAGCTAGTCTCTTGGATTTGGTTTTAAGGGATTTCTGAATCCTGTCAAGGTAAGAAAAGCCCTGAGATCAAAGAGATCTTTTTCAAGACTCTCTAAGCATTAAGACCCCAAACCCAAGAAGAGAATGAGTTAAGAACAAGAAAAACTCCCAAAGCTTAAACCTTTAAACCCCTTAATCACCCCAGCCTTAAACCTATGCAAAACTACTCACTACACATTGTTAAAACACTCGAAAATGCAAAGGAAAGAAAGCTAAACATGATTAAGCAAGAGCGATTAAAGAAAATACTTAGATTAAGATAAGATTAAGGTTCAACAAAATGCGAAAAGCTTCAAAAGTATAACAATGGCGAATCGCCTAAAGCAAAGACAGAAAACTTGGAGACAAAGTGTGCATAATGAAATTGATGGGGTTTTTACGCCCAAAATAGGCCAACAAGAAAAAAATGGTCCCCTCACTACATGCCAAAAGTGAGCTGTCCGGATAAGGTTCTAGAGATCGACTTGGGTGATCGATCTCTAGTTCGATCTCTCTCGTGGATCGTCTTCCTTTGCTCGATCTTCTGGTCGATTCGGTTGGATGGGTCGAGCACTTCGTTCGATCTTCTACTCGATCCTTGGACAATCGATTCGTGGTCTCGATCTGGCTCTCGTTCTGCATGGCTTAGTCCACGTCCGTACTCACGATCGATCACCCTGGTCGATCTTGGTCTCGATCCTCCTTCTTGAAACGACTTGAGTAACTCGATCTTCTGGTCGATCTCATCTAGATCGACCTGCCTAGTTCGATCCGCACGTCGATCCCGGTTCCTTTGCTGAATGGCTGAGTTCTTCCAAGTTTCCACAGGCTCCTTTTCGATTCTTAGCATGTCCACGCAACCTCCACAGCTTCAGTGTGTCCAAAACAACCTGAATATGATGCAAGAATGCAAGAAATATGCAAATGCTAATGTAAAATGCACTTAGGACCTAAAATGAGACAAATGGTGCAAACTAACCTAAAATGTAAGATGAATGCATGAAAAACTACTCTAAATGCATGCTGAATATGTAAAATATATGAGTATATCAACTCCCCCAAACTTGCCTTTTGCTTGCCCTCAAGCAAACGAAATTCAAGAAAAGAAGATGATGCAAAAATGCAAGAAATATGCAATGCACAAACTCATACTCCAAAGAACTTAGCCATATCCATCACATATTGAATCTCAAGTCATGACTCTCATATTCCAAACAATCCATGAATCCTAACCTTTAACATTCATTAGGCTTAAACCGTGAATCACACTTATGCATTTTAATATCGAATACATTTGGCTTAGGGACAAAGGTTATGAGATAAAAATGATCTCATTTAAGTGGGTGTATCAAGCAATGGGTTATCTCAAAAAGGAATGAACTTATGCATAATGCTAAAGGTAAAGGCAATTGATGCATACATGACTAGACTCTCATCTACCCAGACACACTAACAATGATCCTAAAACCCTCTCTCATTTTTTTTCTTTCTTTTTCAAGCTCACTCACCCTCCTAAAGACTACCTACATCAACAAGGCAAGCCGCCTAGCAAAAACCCAAATAAAAACATCATTTTAAAACCATTTTGGCTAGTGGTAAGACCATAAACATACTTAGCTCTTTTCAATACATTGATAACTCTCTTCTTATATTTTTTTCCCTTTTTTTTTTACTTGGCCTTTTGGCTCTTTT